TAATTTTTTAAAATAAATTTAAAAAATTCTAGATATGCATAAAATTTGACAAGAATAATGTGACAATGTTAATTAATGTGTATTTGATTTTATTGTTGAGCCAAATAAAATAAAATAAGATTGAATGTATATTTAGTTTTGGTAAAAAAAAAAAAAAAAAAAAAAAAAACATATGGGGAAATTAGTGAGTACCCATCCCCTGTGGATATTTAAAGAATATCACTTACCCTACCCAATGGATAAGAAAAAGACTGAAAAACCCATGTATTTGGGTTGGGTCTCCATGGATACCCACAGAGTAGGTTATCCATTGCCATCCCTACTCTCTCTCCTCTTCATTTCCTCCCTCCCATTTTTCTCAAGCGAAGCTTTCTCTCATCTCCAAAAATGGTGATCAGAGCACTATCGCCACCGTCAAAACAGTGATCTACGATGAGGGACTGAAATCGGTGAGATATTAGAGAGAGAGAGTAGAAGGAAGAGAGAAAGAGAAAAAGAGAGAGAGAGAGAGTGACAGAGAGGTATATATATGAATGGATAGAGGGGTATAATAGTAATTTTAGTTCGGAGAAATGGGAATGGGGACAAGGACGGGACGGGACGGGACGGGACTAGGGAACGTATCACCGTCCCCGACCCATCGAGGGTATTTTTCAGAGAAAAACCATTTTAATCAGAGTCAAGAGACCGAATTCTTGTCAGAATGGGTTCAAATTGTCATCCCCAATATGGACCTTACAAAAAAGCTCATCCTTATGAATGCTTTGAGTTTCTTAAAAGACTGCTTTCTCTTATTGGCATGCCAAAACTTCTTGAGGATAAAGCCTTTACCATTAGATTAGGTGTACCCTAGGTACAAGATAAGGTGTACACTTTTTGTGTATTTTTTTATTTTTTTTAAATTAATGTATCATATCATATTATAAAATGGTGATATATAAATATAAATTTTTTTGGCTTAGTTGAATTTCGAGCCTATCACTTTATAACAAAGAATTTGTTGAAATGTCATGTTATGCAAATGACACTTTCACTTACATTACTCTCGTGTAAAATTTTGTATAAAACTTTTGGTAAAATAGCGTGCCATTCCTTAAATATGACATATAATTATACAAACAATTTTCAAAATGGGAAAGAAAAAATCTAAACAAATAGAAGAGAAATAAGACTCAAACATATAATAAGATTTAAATTACTGACTTCTACTGAATTGCAACAAGAGTTTTAGGCTGGTAGAGTAACCCGTTAATTCATTCTTTATGTAGTTCAAACATTCTTATAAAGCTAGAGAATCAGATCCATTATTTATAAATCTTTCCAGCATATACTTTGCGCCATAAATTTGAAAAAAAAAAAAAAGATTCCTAATACCTTGCCCCTCCTCACTTCACTTCATCTAAATTAAAGGATTAATCCTCTTATTTATCCCTTCTTTCATACAAATGACAATATATATATATATATATATTTATTTAAGAAAAAGTGCTGGATGTATGCACATCCTCCCACAAGCAGTGGCAGAGTTAGGAAACTAAATCAGAAAGGGCACTTATTGATTACAATTTTTTTTTTTTTCATAACCAACAATAAGAAGATAATAATAATTTTTGAATTAATATTAAGCACAAAAACTGAAATAAATTATTACAAAAGTATTTCATATAAAATTTTACAATTAATTTAGAGTAAAATCGAAAAGAAAGTATTGCGTGTAACTAGTGTATCACGGACAATGTAAAAAAGTTGTATATTTAAGT